TGTGGGACACGGCCTCAGCATGGCTGGAGAAGCGGTGCGCTGGTGCGCGCCCAGGATCCGAACCTGGGCTGCCAGCAGCGGAGCACGCGCACTTAACTGCTAAGCCACAGGGCCGGCCCTATTAGATATAATTTTATATCTTTAGTCCTAATGTTTCGAAAAAGGTAGGTGAAATATTGTATGATTCTCACTTAAAAACAAACTCCCATAAGTTGCTTTTCTACTTATATGACCCTCGATTGTTTTTTCTTAGAATTCCTGTCACTGACTTAAATAGAATTTTTAAAAATTTTTAACAGGAGGATTTTATTTTTATATGTCACCAAAAGTCTGATGTATATAATTAAACAGAATATATATAACTTCACTTTCATCCTTGAAGTCAAATATTTCTATTTTTTCAGTGTAATACTTGGGAATGGTTTCCCATTAGGTGATTTTATTATTTATTTGCAGGATTTATTCTTATGTATGCAATGGATCATAGCTTGGAAATACTTTGAAAATCTTCTGGAAATTGTCACCAAGTACAAAACTGTAGTGTCCCTCGTTTAAAATGAGACTGTATTTAGTAACAAGTTCTGGAGAAAAGTAGTTCAGAAGCCTGTCTTCATTTTTCATTCCCAATCTATTGTGGGAACTTGGGTCATAAATATTTAAACTTCAGCATCTCCCCCTCCAAAGTAGGATTTTTAATACCTTTGCTATCTTAAATTACAGTAATCTTTACTAGAATGATTTAATTCCACTTAAAAATTTTGTTTCTCAAGGCAAGTTGATTCAGTAGCACAGAGAGTGACCTCTCATGTTTGCATGTTCCCAGGACCATGTCCAGTGACTGCATGAGATAAAGAGGCACTGGAGCACCCACGTCTGTCCGTAGTGCATGCCAGAGCCTGTATCCCCACACTCAGGGTGGCTTTGGGAAGCCCTGAATGGGTTAAATCCTCTGAACCTCACAATTTTTTTTTTTTTTTTTTGTGAGGAGGACCAGCCCTGAGCTAACATCCAATGCCAATCCTCCTCTTTTTTTGCTGAGGAAGACTGGCCCTGGGCTAACATCCATGCCCATCTTCCTCCACTTTATATGGGACGCCGCCACAGCATGGCTTAACAAGCAGTGCGTCGGTGCGCACCTGGGATCCGAACCGGCGAACCCCGGGCCGCCGCAGCGGAACGTGCACACTTAACCGCTTGCGCCACCGGGCTGGCCCCTGAACCTCACAATTTTGGTAACCCATTCTTTGCATTCCTCTCCATACATGAAATGTACACAGTTTTTCCACTTATTAATATCAGTTTTCTTTTACTCTTTCAGACTTCACAGATTCAAAGTCATTTTTTGATGTAAAGCTTGAAGGTTGGATCTAAGAGATGTGCTACAATTTATGACATTTTAAGCAAACTTGTTCTAAGTACAGATAGGATGTCATGTGGGCGTTTAGGCAAATCTGGTAAAGAGATATTACTTATGGCAGAGTCCACTGCCAATACAAAAAATAATCATGTTCTTAGTGAGGTATTACCAGAAGGAACTGGCTCTAAAAGTGTCTACAGGGATTAGTGTTGCATTGGGTCTATAGGACTTTAGTGTGGGGAGTTTGTATTTCCAGTGTAGCTCGTGGGCTTCACCCCAGTTATTACGGCTCTAACTAGGACTTTGTGGAATAGAGGGAGACTCGGCAGGCACTGAGTTACCACAGTCAGTTGACAGGAAGAACCAATGTCTGTTGCAGTGGAGTCATAGAAGACAATACTGCACTATTAACACCTTACCCCTGTATCATGGTTTCGCTCTTTGCAATAATCTAGATAACTGTTTTATTAAGATGAGTGATTTGGAGGATGTATCTGGAGCAAGTGAATTTTATTTATTTATTTTTTACTATGGTTTCTTTTTCTTTTCTCGAGAGTGAGAGAAACTAGTCTTTTTAACCTATGAAAGACTTAGGATTTTAGAGAGAAATAAATAACATTTTCCCACAAAACAAACATTGGTTTTCCCAAGGACACTGGAAGGCCACTTGTTTTTCCCCATGGTTTGGCATCCACAAAGAAGCAGGAATGGGCTGTGTGTTGGTTCACCGCTGCTTTTACTAACCCTCTCTCCCCGTCTATCCCTACCCCACCCCCACACGCATATCCCCGGGACGTCACTTACTACAGGAAATTCCCGCCTCTCATCCAGAACAGTCCTTTCCAAAAATCCTAAGCAAGCCCAAAGTTTGGTTCAGAGGATCTGCTGCGGATCTTTTCACTGGGTTGCTGGGCGCTGATGTGGAAGAGGACAGTTTGATTCAAATCTCCAAGGACTTCTTGGGAAGTTGTCCCCTAGACGGCAAATGTCAGTGGTGGAGTGTGTCATGTTTATTTATGTTGGTGACATCCAACTTTTATATATATGGCATTTCCCTCTACCAAATGTTTCCTTCCCTTCCTGTGGTGCTGCTTCGCCATGTCTTTCTTCCTCCCTATTGCTCGCTTGCCGTCTGTTGTTATTCCCTGTTCTATTTTCCAGGCCAGGTCAGTGGTGTCTGGGAGGAGTGGAGTGAAGGGGGAAGGTGACACGCATCTCAGTGTTGTCCGTGGACCTTGCTGTTGTGCCCTCCCTGCACCTCCCTCTACCCCGTGACCTCTCCCTGTGCTGGGGAAGAGCCCAGCCCTGGGCTTTCTCCCCACGTTTTGTATGCAGCCTACTTACCTGCTCCTTACTCCATCCTTCATGTTCCAGTGTCTTATACCATGGGGTTAAGACCATGGCATTTAGAGTCAGACTTCGTGGTTTAAACTCTGGCTTTATCACTTGTTAGCCATCTGACATTGGCCACGTTATGTCAGTTTCTAAGCCTCAATTTCTCTATTTATGGGGTCCCTATTTTGGAATTATTATGAGGTTGAACCAAGGTAATCGATGTAAAGCACTTAGTGTAGTTTCCAGCACTTAATAAACGTTAGCTGCTAATATTGAATTACTGTCATGATCATCATCACAATCAGAGTTATTCGTTGTTCGTTGAGTATTGAGCACTTTCCATATGTCAGGCACTGTGCTGAGAAGGGAGGACAAAGCAGAGAACAAGCCAGGCGCATTCTGCACCCTCACAGAGTATTAATCTATATTTATTTTTTCTCCTCATTAGGTCATAGGAATCACTCCAAGACTGCAGCCCCAAGTTTTATTTTTCCCTCCCAGGAATCCTAGATTAAAATGCTACACAAATGTTTTCATAGGAACATCATTATATGTTGGCAGTTAGGTTCCATTGTACTATTAAGATTATACATAATGTCAAGTAATAATAAAGGCTTTAAAGAAAAATAAAGTAAGATGTGTAGTTAGTGGTGGAGTATGCTGTGATAGATAGAATAACCCAAGAAAGCCTGTTTGAGGTGACATCTGAGCAGAAACCTGAATGAAGGGAAGGAGTAAGCCACACCAGTGTCTTGGGGAAGACTGTCCTGGGCACAGAGAATAGCAGCTGTAAAGACCCTTAGATGCACACATTTGCTTGCTGTTAGTCGGGAACAGCAAGGAGACTAGTATGCAAGAGCACAGCGAGTGAGGAGAGGATAGAATTTAAGGAGGTCAGGGCTTGTGGGTGCTGGAGTGTGTAGAATCTTGCAGGCCTTGGTTAGGATGCCAGATTTACCTTTAGGTGTGCGGGGAAGCCCTCGCAGAGTTTGGTGTCTACGGCTGACTTGGAGAGACTAGATTGGAGGGGATCAGAAGTGGAAGCAGAGAGATCAGTTAGGAGGCTACAGCAGCATGTCTAATAAAGTTTTTGAGAATATATGTTCTGCTTTCCAAACAAAAATAGCCTTTGGTTTTTAACTGATTTTTAAATTGAGGGCTGACTATACTCGTTTTTAAAATGTTAGGAATGTAAAAATCTTGGGGAAAGATGGTTTTGTTAAATATAAATATTTCTCACATCTAAGTCTTTACTAACTAGCCATATTGATAAACAGCCCAAGGAATTGTTCCAGACCCTACAGGTCAAGCTCAGGCTTCTCATCTTTATTTAAATGTTTGTGTAAGGGTGGATAGCATTCAAGAGACTGAGAACTACACTCGAATATTCTTATCCTTGTTTAAAACCATCAGTGGGGGAAAAATGTCTTCACTAAATATCCCTTTTCAGCTGGAATAAACTTCTTTGTATTCTAGAACTTGTCCGTGCCAACGTTTTCACACTTCCTTTGTATTTTTCTTTTAGCTCATTATCAAATTATAGTGATTTGAAGAAAGATGCTGCTATGAACCTAAATGTTCCTAAAACTCCAGGAAGGCATGGATTGACAGCCACACCTCAGCAAAAACTCCTCTCCCAGCACCCACCACAGAAGCAGGGAAATGATACAGATAAGACTCAGGTTGTACAGACTTGCGTGGCTAACGGTGTAATGGCAGCACAAAACCGGATGGAATGTGAGGAGGATAAAGCGGCCACTCTGAGCCCAGATACTCCTATTCAAACTTCTGAACCCTTGCCCGATATGGACTTAGTGAATGGAGAAAGAGATGAAACTACCACAGGCCATGCATCACCCACAACAGATGACTGTGATGGAAATGCTTCTCACAGTAGCTGCAGGACTCCAACTGCAGACCCAGTGGTCCCCCTGGAAGAAGGACGGGCAGACACAGAAGCCAAGGTACAAGAGAGGGAAAATGGAGAAAGCCCTCTGGACCTGGAACAGCTGGACCAGCACCACGAGATGAAGGTAAAGCGTGAGACTGGCTCATAAGGAGGTGGAAGCACTGACTATTTTACTACTGTTTTAAAACTGTTTCGTAGCACCTGTGAAAATGAATGAGTCAGATCACCCACGCCACCAGTTAAACAATTTTCAAGCTCTAGCTGCTAATGGGTGTTTCCCGTACTCTCTGAGGAGATATTTCATTTTTTCTTCTGTGTAGTTTATGTTGTGATTTCAAGAGTCAAAACAGTGTGAAGACTTTGGTATAAGAAAATCACAGGCATATTGTCTTTACTTACATGGGAAAAAAATGTTCTTTGTTGCTCTAGATGTTAGGGCTGCATCTCTAATATTTATGGACTAATAAGCAAGAGGAAATTGTATAATCTTTGCTTTTCAGACGTTTCTAATCTAGTAAAAGAAATAGACCTGGAAGATTAACTTGCACTAGTATATGTTTCTTGTAAGGACATGAATATGGAAGTATTCACAAATTATTCAATGGATTATATCTGTAACTCTTTCCAGGCTTCTAGGTTTTTAAAATGTTTCTAATTAATGCACAATTATATAGTGAATAACTTAATCTTGGAGTTAGAAGTCTCTTTAAAGATCATCTTAGTTCAGCAATTCATTTATAGAAGAAGAAAGAGTCCCAGAAAGCTTAAGTAATTTTCCAGGGTCACAATCCTAGCCCAGACCCCTTGTGCTCTGACTCCCAGGCCTAGAGTCCCTGATGCAAGCAGTCAACAAATGTAAACGCCTAAATGCAGGAAATGTCAATGAATGCAGCAGCCATGAGTAATATCCCAGAGAGAGGTGAGACTGGGGCAGACTGGAAGTTTATATCCTTTCTAAAGAGGACAGAGTTCAATGAACCACCTGAATGGCATTTCTGCCCGTGTGCAAAATCTAAGCTAATAAAGAGCTCATTTGCTGGTTAAATATGTTCATAATTTACCTGTGCTGCTGCAGAAACTTTTATACAATTCCAGTAACGAGACCATTGCATTTGTATTCTTTATTTATGTTGATATAGTGCTTTGGAAAGATTAATAAATACGGCTTTTACAGGGTACTTGGGATTTCTTGGATCAAAGGTGCAATATAAGCATCATCATAGAGTTCCCTGGAACAGAAAGTTGTTTACGTCTCTGAAGACAAGAAAAACGTTTCCATTGCTTAGTCTCTCTTATCGATTTCAAATAACGATCTTTGTAGGAGAGTTGAGAATTAAAATTTTGACAATTATAGGAAAATTTGTAAATGACAAATATAAGCCCTAAATCTCTTTAGGATTTTTTATGGTGCTGTTTCTCAACTGGCATTACCATAGGCAGAAATTCAAAAGGACTGATACTATAATATTAAAAAGTGATTGATTGATGTATTCAGAACTTTAAAGTGAAATCTACCTTATGGTACAATTTTTCACTGACTCTCAAGAAAATCCCAAATAGACCAAGAGCCAGTGAATTATTTTCTTCCAGTTAGTGAATTAATTTTAGATGCTGACTCTCAAGGAGGGAAAGTTTAAATAAGGAAGTGGGTGGGAGAAAGTGACTCATACTTGGTAACATTATCTGAAACATTAGAGAAACAGGACATTGCTAAGTGAATCTCTTTACATCTCGATATCGCAGTAGATTTTAGTGTCTCTGTGCTTGAACCATGGTGAACAGAAGAGAAGGTTAGAACCAAGGAGCTCAAGACTCAAACATCTCTCCTTTCACAGCTGGGATGATGCCACCAGCAAGTATTTATCTAACAGTAAGAGCTATTCTTATTAAGGGAAATATTTCAATTGGTGATGGTGCCTGTGGTTGCTGAGTACTACTTTTCTTCCTGTCATATGTTATTATGTATGCATTTTCATAGATGAGTCTTATTTGGTTTGGGAAAAAGTTAATAGGGCTTTCCTATTAAACTAGTGAAACAGAATAGTACAGCTGGCCTTTTTCTTAAATGGGCATCTAAGTGGTGGATGGCACATGCTCTGTGTGGGAAGGAAAAGGACATTTTCTCTGCAAAGCTGTTGATCCAAACACCACATGTGTCTCCCATCTGAAAAGGAGTATTAGGATTTAATTTCTACATGGTGACAGTGTGTTCTTTGCTGCTCTGATGTTTGTTTCATTGCCTTTCCTTGTTCCAAAATGCAAAACTTAAATGTGAGCAGTGTCAAGATAATAAATTTTATCTTGCGTGTATTTTACCACAATTAAAAATAAAGAAGAAATCTTAAAAAGTAAAAAAGTAGTATATAGAGGACCAAACAATTGGAACCAGGACATCTTACTGCTCCTTCTAGGTCATCCACTAACTAGCAGTATGACCTTGAACAAATCAATTAAATTAGTTAATTAAGGTATTCTAAAATTCTTTAAGGAATATAAACTGAGTCTGACCTTAAGGCCCTTTTTAGTGATAATAATAGAATAATTCTGTGATGTTGTATGTAGGAATGTCCCTTTGTTGGCTGTAGCCCTGCAGGTGGTCAGCTGCTTCTTAAACTCTAATGTGTTGAACTTCTGAGACATGATGGAATATTTGAGTTTCACTAAGCAGACAACTGAAAAAAAATTACTTCAATCTTTATATAACTCAATATGGAGATTTACATCAGAAGAGTCTTAAATAAGTTTCGTTTAAACTAGAATTACATTTAATGGACGTTTCCTAAATGCCCACCAGGAGTGGGAGAACGATGGGTTGGGGGCTGGAAGGGAGGAGTAGAGTAGAATCATAAAGATGAAGTTCAGGAAAGTAGATACATATTAAAATATATCTTGAGCAATCATTATTAATAATTGAGAACTGACTTGAAAATAGTCTCTGCTTGTGTAACTGTTTCACTGATTATCTAATGTATTTTGATCAAGAATCACGTTCAATGGTGAATATAGAATACTGCTATTTTTACCATGTAAAAGATAAAGAATACCTACCTCATTGGAACTACTGACTCTGCCATGCTTTAGCAAAGCAACACTTTTCCAATGTTTAAACTGTTTACATCACTAGTGATCTAGATTACAGCCAGACACCTCAGAGTAAGCAGATATTTCTTTAAAACCTCAGGACCAAAAGAAGATGTTAGCACTTTGTGATACCTTTAGCTCTCACCCACAAGGTGTTAACAGTATCTTTAAATTAAGGTTAATCATGTATTACAGCAGATTAAAAGACTGAAAGCTACTAAAGAGGAGATGTTGTTACAAGGAAACATATTAAAATCCATAAATTACAGGAAAGGCAGAGGCAAAGGAATATCGTAGTGTGTATGCCTGTGCCTCCACAGGTATGCATACTTGAGGGCATCAGAAAATACGAGTATTATAATTCCTGTTTGGCATGATGAATTTGGGTTATCATAAGTAGCTTAAACTATATTAGGAGACTCAGGTAAATGGGTCAGTACACTTTAGAATGAATTTCATTAAGAGTGGTTATCTTCTCAGATGCGTAGGCTTCAGTGGCAAAGCTTTAGTAGAAATGCACTAATGTGGGATGTGGCATTCATTGATTATGCTATATAAATGAAAACTCTTTAGAGTTTTCATGAGCCTTTTAATAGGATGTTTTAACAAGTTGTATTGGTAGATTTTTCTGGTTTATTCACAATGTTCCCTTCCTCTGTGTTTCATACAGCAAGCCAAATATAAATGTGTAGATGTGCACTTTTTAAGACTAAAGTTTATATAAATAACAAATCTTTGTTATTGGCAACATAAGTAGCAGGGTATTAAAACTCTAATAATAGCAATTTTATCAAAAATATAACATAAACAGATTTTTAGGAAGTTAACCTTTCATTTCACCAAAAATGAAAGAAATTATGTAATAAAGTAGGGGATAGATGAAGGAAGTGTCCACAAAGTAGAGATTTATAGACACATATTATTATTTTTTTTTTACTTAAATGTTTATTTCCTGGTTATTTCTGGTTTTTTAATTACCATTTTACTTATATTTTTATATAAGCCTTGAAGGCTTATAACTTTTGAACATATTAGCAAATTAAGAAATTAACTCCTAGGGAAAAGAATGACAGAGAATCCCATTCAGAAGTAAATTGCAAACAGAAAACCAGTGTTGTAATTCAAGTTAATTCACTTTTCCTTTTTTTCCTTCAATTTCCTCTCACTAAGTTTAATTGTAATTCTTAAAATTGTTGATTAATTTTACAGGGTGTAATGTGAGGTATCAAAGTTTTCTTGGAGTTAAAACATAATGCCTACCTTGGTTATCCATTTCTTTCTTTTTTTTTTTAATATTTATTTATTTTTTGTGAGGGAGATCAGCCCTGAGCTAACATCTGTGCTAATCCTCCTCTTTTTGCTGAGGAAGACCGGCTCTGAGCTAACATCTATTGCTAATCCTCCTCCGTTTTGTCCCCAAAGCCCCAGTAGATAGTTGTATGTCATAGTTGCACATCCTTCCAGTTGCTGTATGTGGGACGCGGCCTCAGCACGGCCAGACAAGTGGTGCGTCAGTGTGCGCCCGGGATCCGAACCCGGGCTGCCAGTAGTGGAGCGCGCGCACTTAACCGCTACGCCACCGGGCCGGCCCAGTTATCCATTTCTTATGATGGGCTACAAGTTCTTTTTTGGTAAACCTTTAAATTTCCTTTAGCTCACTTCTTAACAAATAAGGGGACAACTGTTGAGGTCTTGTTAGATTTGAAGACAAATAGTAAGTGACTCCTGAGCTATTTCTTCTCTTGCCAAATCAGCTGTAATTCCAAGAAAGGGAAAGACAGCACAAGCAAAGAAATTATCCAGCTTCACTAATCGGTCTTTCGCTGTTGCTAGTATTACAATGAAAGCTCCAACTAAAGTTGTAGGAGTTTTAAAACAATGTGTCAGATAATGGAAAATTGCCCCCCTAACTTGCGGATAAGTTCATAAAAGTCTTGAGGATAGCTTTTCTTTATTCACTTAGGACTGAATGGTGAACTCAGAAACTTCCTTATTTGGTGGCGACGCTGTTTAGTATGTTGGAAAGGTATAAGAAAGAGAAAT